TATTATAATTAATCACCATAAAATCATTAATAATAACAATAACATTAACAATAATAAATGGTATTGGTAATAATAATGATAATGATAAGGATATTAACAACAGCAATAATAATGAAAAATAATAACAATAGTCACAATAATAACAACAATGATACTGACAGCAATAACAATAGCATTAATGATAAATTAATGATGTAGATAATGATGACAACAACAATTATGATAATATTAACAACAATAATACCAATAATAATCATAAGAGTATTAATAATAACACTAATGTTAATAATCATCATATATCAATTATCAATCAACAGTCATTAATAATAACAATAACAGTAATGATGATGATGATGATAATGACAATAATAATCATCATAATAACAATAACAATAACAATAATAATAATAATAATAATAATAATAATAATAATAATAATAACAATAATAATAATAATAATAATATCAACAATAATAATAATAACAACAATCTTACCAGTACTACTACTACTTCTACTACTACTACTAATAGAATAAATAAAATGACAATAATACTAATTATAACTACAGAAACAACAACCATTACATAAAAAAATAACGATAATAAGAAGAGTAATAATAATAATAATAACAATGATAGCAATGTTAGTAATAATGATAGTGATAGTGGTGATGATGATGATGATGGTGACACTGGTGGTGACAGTGGTGGTGACGGTGGTGGTGACGGTGGTGGTGAAGGTGACAATAACGATGACAATGACGGTAACAGTGATTTTAATGGTGGGGATTCTTAATGTAGCTAAATAACTGGAGCAAGAATGCATGAATACAGTAAGTATTAACCCCTTGATCCCTGTGATGTGACCATCCCATCATCAAAAAATTTGAATGAGGGCTGAATAAGCAGGATTATGCCATCATGAAAAATATTGTCCAGAGTGATAGGAATTTGCAATCATGAGAAGTTCGGATGAAACCCAGAGTGACGGGTGGCTCCCCATGAGTGCATAAAGCCCTTGGAGGGTGATTAGGCTCTGTGGGTATTTTGGAAGGTATTCTTGCATTGCTTTTATAGGTAAACAAGTGTATAATGTGCCATCAATGAGACATGACTGGTAGAGCGCCATCTCCAGGGAGGATGCTATTTCCATGCTCAGGATCCATGACCAGGGGGTATTATAGTAAATTGAATATCATTAAAATATTCAAATGACATAAATAACGCAATGTTACTTAGTTATCTTCACTGCTCAGAGTTACAGACTACCTAGAGAGATGATATAGAATCTGTATGAAGAAAACAGTCTATTACCATCTTGATACAGCAGATCAAATGACCTTGGTGAATGGATAAAAGAAAAAAAGAAAGAAGAAAATATTTGTGCAGAAAGAGAGATAATAATGTTGCAAAGAGAAGGCAAGAAGTCTTGGTACCACACAAGTCTTCTTGTGGGCCCGGCCTAAAACCGCACACACCAGGGAGGGTTGCTCTCAGTATGCTAATTCCCAGATTTTAAGCAATGTGTGAGC